GCCGTTTTCACAATCGAGCCAGGTTGATTTTGTGCATTTTTTCTTTCCAGATTCTGCTCATAGTGAGGTTATGAATACTATCCTAGGACTCTATATCCCAGCCAAGTCTTCCTTCCCTGAAGAGTTTCGTGGAATAGGATTTAGGATAGAAGATGATGTCGTGGCAATCAAAAATGGTGTAGAAGTTCTAACTGATGCGGTACCTCGTTCTTCCAGCGAAATAGAATATCTTATGCGATCTCAGTGATGTTTTTCTTCCGCATAAAAGTTCATGAAGCATTTTATAGCAAATTTTTTATTTTCTTCTGATAAACAATTGTTCAAGTGTATTTAAAATCTGGCTATATGTGCTTGCGTGCAGTAGTGTGCGTAATAACATCTACTTACGGAATATGACTATCTAAAAAATGGCTTAAAACATCTGTAAACTTTTACAGGACACGGGGTATTGGGGCTCAAACGAGAAGTTTCTCAGTACTTGCACCACTTCATCGTGTTGTCCCGCAAAAGCGCGGCAGGGCTGTACTCGAGTAAATTTCAAGTAAGTGGGCAAAACAAAGGTCTTGACTTTTGTTAAATTTACTGCAACAGTGCCTTAAAAACTGAAGCAATCAAATGAAGACAGGAAGGCTGGTCTGCAATGCTGTGATGGTGCAGTAAAACTCAAAACATCACAAATCTTGAATTTTTGCCTTAAGTTTGCGTTCATTGCTTTCAACACCTCTCGAGACAGTTTTCGAGCTAATCCTCTTCGTCAAGTTCTTAATAAAGCGCGTATTGTCTGTTGTCTGTGGTGTTTCTCTGGTCACGAAGTCAATTCATTTGTCATAAGAAAGTCGAAGAGCAGCTATCAAGCGTTGTCATGTTAACTGCAGAACAATAACTAAATATTGGCAATTTTTTTCTGAGAACGCGGTGAGTTGGTTGTTCATTTTCGTTGCTATGATGAGATAAAAGGCGTGCGTCTTTCCCCTTCAAGGCGTTGAGAGGTAAGATCAGAACTTCAGTAATTCCAGCAGAATGTAATAGATGGCTCTATTGGGTACAAGAGCTGTTTGAAATGCTGAATTTAGCTTTTTGATAAAGCCGCCGCACTGCACTGACACAAGACTGTATTATTCGTTCGACTGTTTCAAAATCTCGGCATTCCAGAGCACTTGTT